GCCGCCTGAGAGTAATCTGGGTGATGGTACTTTGCTACACTTCCCATCTTGTGCCTTCCTTGCTTTTCCACCATGTATTTATATCTCTTTTCTTTTTTATTTCACCCAGGCCAATCTGAGCTTATTTTCTCATAATTTCCCTCATTGAACTAAAAGCAGTCTTCCCTGTGAAGTGGTAAAGTGAGGCCTGGAGCTTCTCCCATGGGGAACAGAGTGAGAGACCTCAGCGCAGGCCCAGCTGTGGGCAGGAGGAGACTCAGCAGCTGAGGGCACTGACACAGGAAATGGCCTGTACAACCACAGGAAGATGTTGCCATGCTGAGGAAGACCCAGCAGGCACTTCACTGCAGTTTAGTAATGAGGAAGGAACGTCAGTGGGCTGGGGACCTGGTCACTGGGGGCAGAAGCTGGCCTTGGGCTCGTTGTAGCCTCCCAGCCCCTCCCTCAAAGGACCACAGCAGCAGAAAGAGGAGGGTGGAGACCAAAGCCTGGTTGAAGCCACAGTCCTGTCCCCATGAAGGCCTGGGCCACCACAAGTTACCCATTTATGGTTTCTACTATGTGAGATAGAAAGTAGGAGTGCTCCAAAGAGCTCTGGTGCCCAGGTGGCCTGGTTGTCATGGGATGGAGCAGAGAGCAGTGCCAGGAGGCCAGGCACAGCCTCTGGGGAGAGCCAGCCATGTCTTCGTCACTCACAACACGTCCAGAAGTGCCACTGGTCTCCATTCCACAGACGAAGGAGGGGTCCAGAGAAGTGGGACATCTGCATGTGGTCTCACTGCCGGTGGATGGTGGTGACAGATCCTAACCTGGTGTCCCTGTCAGCTGACGGGCAAAGGGCTGTAAGTGGGGGCAGCAGTGCTTGACCCCAGTTCAGTCTCGGGCCCTGAAGCCTGGCGACCTTACATTCTCGCTGAGATGCTGGCTGGGGACACATGGACATGAGGACCTCGGCCTGCATGAGGCCCACATACCTGAGAACTTTACCAGATGTGATGCTGTCACCTGAAAGAGCCATCTGACAGTTTCCATTAATCAGCATGTGGGATTGTAGAAGCTGCTTAAGTACTTTCTAGGAAAATTGCGAAACCTGGCCGATGAGAAGCAGCAATTTCCTGTTTTCCTGTTACCTTGACTGCTTTGCTTGTTTCTTTCAAACTTACCCCAACTTGATCAGCTGAAGCGTCTTCGTTAGGAAATCTTCCAGTCTGTCTGGGAGCGTGTTTGGATCAGAGGACTCCCTGTAGCACAGGGCCAGCGTGCAGGCTCGGCCCAGGCAGGCCGTGGAGCAGGAGGCATGCGGCGCGGGCCAAGGTCCTTCTGCACTGGGAGGTCCCCGCTTCCCCTTCTCTTTAGGGAAGTAGTGGGCTTTTACAGGCTTTCTGTTCAGCCTCTCCCCTCAGGCTTTCTCAGGCAAGGTGGCCGACAGAAAGGCTGAAAACGAGGCCTTTGTTTCTAATTCTCAGCCAGAGCAGGGGTAGGCTTCGCGCTCTCCCAGGTGGGGTCTTGGCGGCCGGAGAAGGGCACGGTGCGCTTGCGCCTGCAGTGGTGAGCGTACATGAACAATTTCTGTTCTCCCCCCGAGGGGCTGGGCGAGGAAGCACCCGGCTGACCCAAGAGCAGCCAGGTAGTCTCTCGGGCACTGGCTTTTTCCACAGGTCCCTGTGAGTTGTGGACCCTCACATCCTCGGAGTAGGGCCAGGGCCACACTCAGGTGGTCAGAGGGTCCATTCAGGCCCATCTCACAACCGCGTCTGTGTTCCCTGCCATGTGCATGGGCACAAGAGGCCCTTTGTGGGGCCGAGATGCTGTCTCTGTTGGATCCTCCTCACAGCTGAGACCTCTGTGCAGCTCAGCTGGTACTCAGGGCTGGTGGCTGTGAATTTTGCCATCTGCGGGACTGAGAGTTGGTGCCTCCGTTCATAAAGACCACAGCATTTAGGGGAATGCCCCTTGTCTTTAATTCCCACATTGATGTGGGAAGCTATTTCCGTATGTGGGGACTGTGCAGTGCTCTGACCGCATCACTCATGGTGGGTAAGATGTGTATTTGCCTCTGAAGCCAGCTTGACCTTGCAGATGTGTGGAAAGGCTCAGAGGACAGGGGCCTCGTTTCTCCAGAAGGCGCTGTTCGAGCCCTGACCCATTCATCCCTGGGCGCCTGAGTCGGGCCTGTGGCAGTGCTGCCAAGCGCTGCTTTCCCTGCCAAGATGAGGCTCAGTGTTCAGAGCACTTTGGGGGATATGGGGTAGGATATGAGGTCTTCTTTTTTCACTCATCATTTCCTTTGGTAGTAAATGAGGGGTGTCAGATGTGCTGTGTTTGTTACAAACGGAGTGTTTGTGAAGCAAGCCTCAGAGATTCTTTACCAGGAAAGAGGCTGGGAACGGGCAGTCCGGGTGGTTGTGATCAGTTGAGGAGAGTCCCCCAGAACTGTCCCCCACCAGCATCCCGGGAAGCATCTGGCTTCCTTTGTTTCCACCAATTGAATGGAGACGTCTTTGCTTCTAGAGCACAAGGAAGCCCAAACCTAGGTCCTGTGATGGGCGTGAGTGATGTTTGAGAACAAAACCAGCAAAATATGTACTTTTGTTTTGAAATAAAATTATTAAGATGGATTTGAGGACATTTTGGTACTATCTAGCTTTATTTCTAAAGAAATGCTTTGTAAAATATTGTGGTTATGCACTGCTGGGATTCGACTTGATTTTATATAGAATAATATATATTTTTTATAATGGCAGCTTTTTTTTTTTTTCAATTTCATGTAGCTTAGAGCAGACATGAGGCAATTAGTTGCTGGCTTTTTTTTTTTTTTTAATCTTTGGTTGATAATAAATCATAGCAGACACACTGTGCTTCACACCACTGAACTGTTCTAAGTGAAATCTTGCTGCTGTATGTTTATGTTTTTCTTAATTGTGTGACAGAGCAATGCCATTTATATTTATAGTCTCCTAGCCTGCACTGCCCAGCCCTCTGCCCGAGCAGCCCCTGCAGCCTCACCTGGTTCTTCTGTGGGCTACCTCCTCAACCTTGACTGTAGGTAGCCCTCTTCTCCTGTCTTATTCACTGCAGCCAGAACCCAGCCATCTAGAAACCTCACCTGTCAGGAATCACACCTTTTACTTTCTCCCAGAGGCAGATCCTAAGAAGGGAGTTAAGATTGGAGATTTAGGCAGAAGCAGGATTTGGGCGAGTCCTGGTGATTGGGTTTGTTAGAATGGACGTAATGAAAGAAGGAAGCAAACTAATACACAAGTAAAGCATTTTAACAGTTACCCATCAGCCATGACATTGAACCCTCCACCTTCTGTCCATCCATTCATCCACTGTGCATGCAGAGACATCTATTCATCCACTCAGTGGCTGTCTATTTGCCAGCTGCTCTGTGGACCTTGGTGAATGGATGGGATAGTGAGAAGACAGGCCTGGGCTTTCCCCAAGTAGTGTCCCTTCTTCCATGACCTGCTGAGTGCAGAATAGGGGCGAGTGCTGTGAGCGAGGCGGGTGCTGACCCTGCCCCAGCTGGGAGGGCCGCCCTCAGGACCTGATGGGGAAGCGGAGTGCTGAGACCTGAGGGAACATCATGCTGAGGCCCAGAGAGAGGAGAGTGCGGAACCATCAATGGCAGTGGTTCCAAACCTCTTTTACATGGCAGACCTCCCTTTGAGAATTCCAGAGAAGCTGGGGGCCGTCTCCTGGGGGGAGGGCAGAGATGGGCATGCACTGAGGCACACACTCCCAACGCTTTATATCTAATTTCTGGAGGCACCTAGACTCCCTGATGCACAAGCACCCTGGTAGCCTGTAAGCCCCAGCATTTTCTGCACGGGAGGCCCAGCCTCACTGACAGTGTGATTGTGTGATCACTCCTGTCCTTAGGGTTTGCTATGTCAGCTAGGAATTCATATCTCATCCCTTCAGTGAAAGCTGTCTCTCCAGGAGCTGCTTACAAGACTTCAAATGAGCATTTGTTTGTTTTTTCAAGTCAGTGTACAGTTTTACTTAAAAAAAAAGTTTTCGCCCAGCCAGGCATGGCTCAGAGGTTGAGCGTCAGCCTAGGATCCAGGTGATCGGAGTTCGATTCTCGGTCAGGGCACATGCCCGGGTTGCAGATTCGATCCCCAGTCAGGGGCGTGCAGGAGGCAGCCGATCAATGACTCTCTCGTCATTGATGTTTCTATCTCTCTCTCTCCCTCTCCTTTCCTCTCTCTGAAATCAATAAAGGTATATTAAAAAAAAAAAAAAAAAAAAGTTTTCAGGGTTACTGCAGAAATGTTTGGCTTTCATTTTCCATGATCCTTACAGCCATGAGATAAAAAGTAAGATTCTTTTGCTGGGGAAGTCTCAAGTTGCATTCTTGGTCCATAGGTGCCTTGCACTTGCTTGTCTGATGTTTTTTTAAATCCTCACCTGAGGATATTTTTTCCATTGCTTTTCAGAGAGAGTGGAAGGGAGAGGGAGGAAAGAAAGAGAGAGAGAAACATCTATGTGAGAGACACACATCAACTGGTTGCCTCTTGCATGCTCCCCGGTGGGGCAGGGAGTGAACCTGCAACCCAGGTACGTGCCCTTGACCTTGACCAGGAATCGAACCTGAGACCCTTTGGTGCATGGACCACGCTCTGACCACTGAGCAGCACCGGCCAGGGCTGACTGATATTCTTTGATCCAGCTTTTCAAGAGCTATACTCTCAATCTTTTGAAAAATGAGTTCTTTCTTTGAAGCAGTGCTGCTCTGCACTGAAAGCTGAGGTTTGAGTCCTCGGGGGGGCCTGACCGCTGGGTGTGTGCCTGAGGCATCTTTTCTCGGTTGGCACCATGTGGCAGCTGTGAAACCACGTTTGACATTACTTGATTTAAATCATGAAATACTTGCAAACCTTTCAATCCCCATATTGTTGGGCTATTGCCAGACCTTGTGGATGTGAGATGCGAGGCTGTGGTTTGACTGGATAACTACTGAGCTTGAACCTGTCCTTTGCCTTTCCCCACAGCCACTTCCCCTCGGGTGTCCTCTGAGCTGGAGCAGGCCCGGCCCCAGACCAGCGGAGAAGAGGAACTGCAGCTGCAGCTGGCACTTGCCATGAGCAGAGAAGTAGCTGAGCAGGTTGTGCCCAGGCCCATGGTGTGACCACCCTGTGCTGGGGGGGCGTGGGTCGCAGAGAGAACAAATGCCTGCCCTGTCCTCACGCTTTGGATGTGTTTTTTAAGACATGACTCGTGTTGCCACCAGTGTGTTTTGTCACCTACTGCCTCCAGTCAGGGAAGGCGTCCTACACCAAGTTACATTTAGGAAAGGTTTTCAGGGAAGTCATGGCCAAGGGACAAACCACTCAAAAGTGCTTCCCAGAAACACTTTGCAGACGTGGCCATGCCTCGGGGGCTCGTTCTGAACGAGCTGCATGTCCATGGCCTCCTTGACTGCTGGCATATGGGCTCACTATCAGGCTTAGCCCTGAGACGCTTGGTAAGACGAATCAACAGCCTCTGAACACCGGAAAAAGGGGAGCTAGAGGAAGTGCTCCAGGAGTAAGAGGGCTTACACCTGGGTGATGGAAGTTCGTGTAGTTTAATTTTCCAGTTCCCATCTTTAATAAATGAGCACGTCTTTAAAATGGAGGAGGAGGGAAAGGATGACTAGCATGGCCTCTTAAGGCTGCCAGCCCTTCAGGTGCAGTCACCAGGTCTGTCCGCACTGACTTCGGTTAGAAGGACACGTGGGGTCAGGTGTTGCGAGCAGTGGGGTGCAGGTGGGGGATCTTCTCAGAAGTGGTGTTTAGAGACAGGTCAAATACTACAGACCCACAGGTGGAAATACAGGTGGGTCTCCTGGTCCGTTTTAGTGAATACCATGTCTATGATTTATTATATTTATATAATGAATTTACTTATATTTAATCATCATTTAAAAGCTAGGATGACCCAGTCTTTTGCAACGGAGGCTGTAATGAATCATTTTTGTTAGGAAGCTTAGGAAGCATACAGTCATTTCTGGAAGTGTGCACAGCGGGCGGGGTGATTTATGATTTTCTCCTCTTTTCCTTTCTGGGTTGTCAGGGTTTTTAGTTTTATAAGGAGACATATTGCTTCTATAATTGGAATTATAGAGCCATTTTCATTTTGAGAAAAAACATTTTAGAATAAGTATTCCTTTTCCCTGATTTGTGTTGCCTGTACCCCAGTCTCCCTGAGACCCCTACACGGGTGGAACCCACATGCGGTATGTGGGGGCTGAACTCACAGAAGAGTCACTGTGTCCTGCACGTTGCTTCCGAATCCTCTTTGGAAATAACCTGTGATGCAGGCCTGCATTTCCTGGCTCGGGCTGGGCTGCTTTGCTCTGAGTGATGCCGCTGCAGTCCCACCAGCTTCACTGCCATTGTTTTCCACAGGAAGAGCGCCTCAGGCGGGGCGATGACCTCCGACTACAGATGGCCCTGGAGGAGAGCCGGAGAGACACCGTTCAAGTTCCAAAAAAGAAAGAGGTGAGTGCTTCACTGGGAGGTGGGAGTATAGAGGCCTCCCCGCAGTTGTTGCTGTAGGCCCACACCCACCCACAGTGTATGTGTGCCACATGTGCCCTTCCACATGCCGGTGTCTCTGCATTCCGCAGACAATCCTGAGGCCTGTGGTAAGCAAGAGGGAGGTGAGGATGGAATTGAAAATACGTCCACCCAGGACATGACTGCCTCCTGAGACCACCTGGGACAGATGGACCTGGGCATCCCCTATCCCCTGCTGACCTGCACCTCAGTCTCCCTGTGAAGTAGCAGAAGGTAGAGCCACCTCACGCAGTTATGGTGGCTGCTAGTTACATAAGCTAAGTGCCAGGTGCTCTGGAATAGTATTCTGCACAGGGTCAGCCCTCACTAGTGCTAGTGGTCCCCACTGTCATCATTTCTGTGCCAGGCTTCTAGCTGCGGACCTCAAGGTGACCAAGACATGGCTCTGCTCCCAACAAGCTCATCATCCAGTCAGGATTCAGCCCCTCCTACCACAGGGCTCAGGGGCTCCAGTGGTCTCCCATGTTACAGTCCCCAAGGTGTCCCTGACTGCAGCCTTTGGAGCAGGAGAGTGGGGCAGCCCCCAGGAATGAGGGCCCTGGATAGTGGCTGGCAGGTGGGGACAAGGCGAGTGTGCGTTCTAGAAGGAGGAGTAGGCCTGGGGAAAGTTGGCGTCATTCAGGAAAGCCCTAGGACTGTTTGAAAGAGGGCAAGTCATTTGGCACATAGTAAATAGCTCTGTGTGGCTATGGTGATATTGGGGGGCAAAGGGGCATAGAGACAGGCTGCTCAATTTCTGAGATCTTCTGGCCCCTCCCAGGGGGCCTCTATTCTAGTAAGAAGCACAGGCAGTACTTATGGCTGACGTGTATATTTCCTGGCATAAAACCTGTCCCCTTCTCTTTGTCTCAAAAGCCCGGCTCCTACCCACAGCAAACCACTCTGTTGGATTTAATGGATGCCCTCCCCGGCTCAGGTCCTGCTGCCCAGAAAGCAGAGCCCTGGGGCCTGTCCGCCTCAGCTAACCAGAGCAACCCTTGGGGGGGGCCGGCAGCCCCAGCCAGCACTTCGAACCCCTGGCCGTCATCAATTGGTAAAGATCCCTCATCTTTCTCTTGTGCGTGCTCGTTGAGTGGGTGAGGGACAGCAGGGGAGAGCTTCTTGCTTTCTCACCTGGCAGAGGCAGGAGTGTGTCTGGTCGATGGTGGTGGGGGTCCAGTCCAGGCTTCTTCAGTCCCTGGCTGTAGCATCTACCAGGCTGCTACTCTCCTGAAGACGAGGCACAGCACACTCTTTCACTCCATTTTGAATGGTTTCCTGCTTTTTTAGAGAAAGGCTGCCTTCCTCTCTACTGCCCACGTGCATCAGAAATGGCTTATCCCACCTCTGGGATAGTCAGCTCTCTCAGCCTCAGAACTGTACCCAGCACCCAGGTTAACAAACTATAATGCACAGCATGAAACATGTAAATCAAGTTGCTATAATTAGCTGGCAATATGATGTACTTAACATGACTGCTAATGAAAAAGGGATACATTTGCTGTCACTCTTTTTACTCATTATTTAATGCAATAGTGAATCAGTTTACTAGGCTAAAGGAACATTTTAAAGTTCTGTTTAATGCCAAATGTAAGGGAATTTGTCAAGAGAGACTGAAACATGAGTGTAGCATGATTGGGTGAAGATCTTGGGGACTTGGGTTTCCGGATTGCTGGGCGCCGGCTGACCTGCAGACTTCGTGGTGGCTTCGCACCCAGCCTGCACTCAGGAAGTGCAGCACCACCTCCTTCTTAGGGCACTGAGCCCTGCATCTGTGGGTGAGCGGTGAGTTTTCTGTCTAGGAACTTTGAATTGTATATTTTGTGACAACTTGCCTATATCTGTTAGTGTCTCTGTTTCCCCAACTAGAACCATCTTTTGTAGTCAGTTGGGTTCCCTGGATGTTTGCCATAGTGTACCAAATGCCAGACTATCCTGTCATGTAGGGACCCAGACACAAACAGGTGGTAGTCCTGCCCTCAAGGTTCTGGGCAGGTGTGGGCAAGATGGGAACAGCAGCATAGTAGCAATGTGTGTGCACTGGGCCTTGGTGGCAGTTGAGAGCATCCTGGGGCAGGCTTAGCTCAGGAGGTGGGGCTTAACTGGAGTTGGGAGTGGGGGGTGTGACAGGCATTTTGGAGGAATCTTCCAGGGAGAGCAGGAGCAGCCAGGCCAGGAAGAGGCAAGAAGGCTCGGCCGTGAGAGGAATGAGGGCATGCAGTGGTGCAGTTGGTACAGGTATGGGGGCCTTCCTGGTGTAAATTGGGCAACAGGGGTGGGGGTTGGGGTGGGGAGGATGGCGCTGGAAAGTGGGGATTGGTGGCTTCCTGGTTACTCAGGACCCGGCAGCCTTGCCAAGTGCTTGGATGTGTCCAGGGGCCAGTGTTGGCCCCAGGTGTCCTTGGGTGGTGGTGTTGGCTTCAGGGACCTAGACAGACAGAGCCCCACCTTCCTTTGGCAGGGTCCCGCTCACTGGTTCACAGTGCCCACTTACTGGAGGCAGCACCAAGGCTGCCAGGAGCTTGTTTGCGTGGTCCATGGCCTGTCTGCTGTGTCCCCAGGGAGCCTGTGGTGGGAAGTCTTCCTGAGCTTGTGTGGGGCAATGAAGGCAGGTCTGCTGGAGATGTCCACTGGGCGCTGCCTGCGGGTGCAGCAGGCCCTTCTGGACAGTGGCTTTGATTTTATTTTTAAGTGTGGAAAACAGTTTGTCTGTAAAGGGCTGGCCACCTCAAGTTATGGATAAAGATGTTCTTCAGGAAGGACCGTCAGCCCCTTTCAAAGTTGTAGCCCATCATCAAACTGATCGGCAGTCTTCTTGGGGAGCCGGGTGAGAGTGAGACGACTGAATCATGCTGAGTCCGCGACGGATTCTGGGGAGGTGCTTTGGTGGTGGGAGGGGCATAGACTTTTCCCTTCTGCTCTGTTTACTGTTTCTGTTACCTGCTTGGAAGAGGTAAAATAAACATTTCATAAATAAGTTTGCCCAGCCCTTCCTTTGGCTGGTGGACAGGGCTGTGCCCTAGAACTGAGTGTAGTGATTGAGCCAGGGACATGACCCTCCCAGGGAGCTGTTGGTGGGACAGGACCACCTCCAGCAGCTGGGGTTCTCACACACCTGCAGACAGCATACACCAGGCTCTGGCCCGAGGCAGGTGCTGCTGGGGAAAGGCAGCTGGTGCCTAGAGGCAGATGAGCATCACGTGGGATGCCACCCATGTGAGTTTGCTCTTCTAATTTATTTATTTATAAAAATATATCTTTATTGATTTCAGAAGGAGAGAGATAGAAAATCAATGATGAGTCATTGATCGGTTGCCTCCTGCCCCCTACTGGGGATCGAGCCCACAACCTGGGCATATGCTCTGACCTGGAATTGAACCGTGATCTCCTGGATCAGAGGTTGATGCTCAACTGCTGAGCCATGCCAGCCGGGCCCAATTTATTTTTAATCAACATCAAATTCATATAACATAAAAATCACTATTTTAACCATTTATAAGTGGACAGTTCAGTGGTTCTTGCCATTCACAGTGCTGTGCAGTCATCAGCACTGGTTCCAGGCACTTCTGTTACCCTGTGCCCATTAAGCAGCCCTTCTCCACTTCCCCTCCCCTGCCCCTGGCAGCCACCATATACTTTCTGTCTTTGGATTTGCCTGGTCTGGACATTTCATATATGTAATGGAATCACACAACACTGGTCCTTTGTGACTGGTTTCTTTCACTTAGCATGTTTTCAGAGTTCATCCATACACTTGCATGTGTCCCTACTGCTTTCCTTTTTATGGCTGAGTAGCATTCCATTTTATAGATAACACTACATTTTGTTTAACCACTTAGCAGTTGATGGATATATGTGGGTTACTTACACTTTGGGGCCATTATGAATCCATTATTTTTAGAAAAGATCGTAACCTGCATTTTTGAAATCTATTTTTAAATGTTGACAATGAATTTTAAAAATTAAGAACATGTTTGGGACTAATGAAAATATATCTGCAGGTAACCACAGGTGGTTCATGGACTGCTGTTTCTTTTGCCGCTTCCCAACCCGGGGCCCTCTCCTTGGTTCTGATGCATTTGGTGTTTTTACCAGTGACTTGGGGAGAAAATAGGCCACTAAAGCCTAGAGNTCCTTGGTTCTGATGCATTTGGTGTTTTTACCAGTGACTTGGGGAGAAAATAGGCCACTAAGGTTGTTCGTGTTCTGGGGTCACTCAGCAAGTTAGAGGCTGACGCAGTGCTTGGGACCCTCAAGCTGGAATTACGGCACTAACCCAGACTGCTCTGAAGGCCCCCTGTGAGTGTGCACACCCTGGAAAAGTAATCTCATGCCAGCACTGAGAGGCAACTAGTGTTAAATGTTAGCTGATCTGCTTCCTGTTTTTTCTGGGCACTTAACGTTTTTATGTGGTTGAGATCATATTGTATATACAATTGTGTGTGTGTGTGTACATCTACAGAGAAATTTCCGTTTGTACTGCATGATGAACATTTCTAGGCATATTAGACACTAAACAGCGTGGCTCCAGGGCGCAGTCCAGGGCTAGACCACCTTACCCAGCGGCCATTGTTGCACATGAGGTGGCTCTGCACTTTTGGTACTCTGTTCTCAGCAACGCTACAAGAGATGGCCTGACACCAGCGCCTGAGCTCCCCAGAGCAAGGGTACAGCCCCCTTGCTTTCATCTTCCAAGACACAGCTCCAGAGCAAGGAGTAGTGTCAAGTTTACCGATTAGTCTCTAGTAAAATCTGCTACTGTGTGTTCAGGGCCACCCCACTGTCCTGAACACGTTCATAAATTGGAAAGATTAGAGGGTCTCATTTCAAACATTGTTAATTGCACCCTCTGGATGGAAGGAACAGTGTTTTGAAAGCCGCCGTTTGTAGCTAGCCCTGCCATTGCCATTTCTTTCCTTTCCTAGCAGCATTGGGGCAGCTTGGCCAAATGGCCTTGAGAGGAAATGCTAGGGGCCGAAGGGAGGGAAATTGGAGCCCGCCAGGTCAGTGGGGCACTTCCTCCACTGTTCAGACACACAGAGCAGCCCACCTGGTATGAGGAGGGCTCACAGCCAGGCGATGCAGAAGCCTGGGCTGGCTCGGCCCTCCTGCTGCCTGGGCCAGGCCAGAGGCTGTCTCCCGCTCTGGCGGCAGCAGGTGGTGCTGCTGGTTTCTTGGTTACTCCTGAGATGGCTTAGCTCTGTGACTTCCTCCTCGTGCACATGAATATCAATGTGCCAGGCCGGGATGAGCCAGGCTGGCCAGTGAGAACCTATGGCTGTGTGCTCCCTGTGCATGGGCCCTCAGAGAGGAAGGCCGGCAGCCCTGATCCCCGCTCCGTTTCATCCCCCTCGCATTCACTGGGGCAGTCAGCAAGCATTTATTTATCGGCGTGTGGCATGGTCCAGGCACTCCCGAGGACATGGAGGGCAGAGCACAGAGGAGCCTCGCAGTGAACCCACTGTCACTCATGGGGCACAGAGCTGTCAGTGGGCATTCAGGTGGACTGTGCCTGCCCCCTGCTGCCTGCTTTCCCACAGGCTAGTTTACGCATCCATGGGAGGGTGGAGGAAACATTATATGTCCTGGTTAGGCTTGAGGAAAGTGCGGTGCTGCAGTGTGTGGCCTCCCGGGTCTCCCGTAAGCACCTTTTGGAGCGGAGAGTTGGCGTCGTGTCCCGGACACATGTAGGTACCCTGATAACACTTGCCAAGGCTCAGTGGCTTATCCACGGTCATCTGACTGACGTGGGGTTGGCAGGGTTTGAACTGAACTTGTCTTTCATTTCACATCCAAAGCTCTGAGCTGTGACCAAATTTGTCCCTGTGCATGGCAGTCCAGGAGCAGCGGCTTCCTTTCAGGCCAGAGCTTGTGGATGCAACATTGCACATCATAGAGGAGGCTGATTTTTAAAGTTCTTGGCCATGCTGTTGTTTTTGCTGTTTCAGCAGATTCTAAAGGGGAAGTGAGGCCCATGGAAAATAACTGGAGGAGTCAGAAGAGGCTCCTGACGTTTCCAGGGTGGCACCACAGGGCAGCAGGTGCTCAAGGAGC